ATTACCCCTTCGGAAGATCCGAAGGGGTAAAAAGCATGTGGTTTCAATGGGAAAAGACCTATTGGATCATTTAATCATATACCAGTAAAAGTTAACGCATAAAAAGTTATACAAGTTCTATAATCTGTTACAAGCAGAAAACAAGGAACCTCAACTACAGTTCTCATAGCAATCAGCGTAACTGGTTTATAATTAACCCCATTTTTAGTTTTTAGGAACAAACATGAAAAAATTTCTGTTAGACAAAAGCCACCTAGAACCACTAACGAATACTCTGATAACGGTTGAATAACAAAAGAACTTTTTCAAATATAAACTTAACATTTTTTTTAAAATCTAACAAGTCTTTGCTTATATAAGATTTACAAAAAAGCTATTCAAAAAATTTGTATTTTAACGATTTAAGACACAATAAAGATTAAAGTATTTTTTAAAATCTCTTTACATTAATACTTTGAATACAACCCCTGGGAGCCATTCCAGACATTTTTATAATTCATATGTTAAAATATATTTGATGTTATTGTATAGAGCTTGGCTTGATTTAAAAAATGAGGGGTCACTTGGCCTTTAAAGTTAAACGATTCAAACGTTATTGTACTTTTTTTAGTGGAAAATTTATTATTTTTTGACAATAGCTAAAGCTTAAGTATAAAAAATTTGCTGTGCTATGGCACCAAAAACGAGAGTATTATTGATTTATGAATAACTTTTGAACCGTTAATATACTTGACTTGAAGTTTTCTATAGTGACCCACTAACTATAAGAAAAAAAAACTTAAATTTTTTTTTTTAAACCTTTTGGGATTGTCCGGAATCACCTACTATACAGACTAAGATTTTATATATTTTTTGGGTCATGCTGACTTTTTAATAACATTTAAATTATTATTATCTAAAAAATGTTAAATGTTTTGTATGTGTTTAGTGGTGAAATGATACCAGTATAGAAGTATGAAGATTGGTTTAGATTTACTTTCTTTACATTTTAAACTTGAAACCATATATTTTTAGGATATTTTTTTGTGGGAATAATATAGTCTGTAATGTTTTATTATATTCCTAAATTTAATAACATTTATCAGTTTTGTCTGATCTAATTGTAAGAATATCTTCCGTTTTTTTGATTAAGAACATTTTAAAATAAAAGTCAAAGATTTTCTTTATTTTAAATATAATTTCTTTTTTGGAATGTATTAACATATTTTATATGCGTGTGCAGTTTTTTGATTTAATGTCGAGCATGTTTAAATGATAGGGTGCATTTTTTTTAGAGACTATTATAGTGTTTCTATTATAGTCTTTTTCTCTTATATCAATGATATTCATCCTCATACATATAATTAGTTTATCCTCAACAAGCATTTTTCACTTAAACATCCCTTTATGTCCTGCTCTATCCTCCATTTACATTATTAAACATAATGCTATATTTAAAAACACAATCTAAATAAAAATACAAACAGTTACATTTCAAAGCATAAAAAAGCCTTTTAAGCTAAATTGTTTGCATTATTTAACTTATTATTTATTATATTTCAGCATTTTTGAATTAAATCATTTCATTGTTGAATTAAATCATTTGGTTTTGAAGTAAACTTGATGCTATAATTAAAGCTAATTAAAGTTATTCATTTGTTAATTAAAATTATTAATTTGTTAATTAAAAATCTACTTTAAAAGAATAAGATTCTAGTCAAAACATTTTTATAAAGATTATTTAATTTTTCAAAAGATTTTGTTTGTAAATCTCTACTTGATTTTTTTTTCTCTTCCAACAAGGCTGCAAGCAACTATCAGAGTTAAAAGTTACTGGAAAAAAAAACATTGTGTTTAGAAGCAAGATAACAGTTAACAGAGAACTTAAAAGATGGCAAATTAAATGAATCAGGACAGCAAGATAAAAAGAGCGAACTCCAATGAATTAATGTTCAAGGAAAAAAACTAGGCTAGTAGGAATTTTTGAAGCAATTAGGAACAGTCATACTAAAAGAATGAGACTAAATTGAATAAAGAGTTACACAAGAATGACTTTTATTAGATGACACAAAAGATGCTAGCTATATGAAGCTGCGCCCATTATAGTATTTATAGAAAAGAGTAAGAGAATGAATAATGAATAAATGGTAGTATCATCAGTAACAAATATCACTCAAGATGTGATAATTTCTAGAAGGTTGTTAATATAAATGAAGAAAGTATTGCGCTAAAGTTTTAGAAAATAAAGAAGAGTGCTGTCCATTGAGGACAACCTTTATACTACGATTAGTAAGGAAGCATTTAATAATCTAAAAAAAGAAAGCTTATTGAAAAAAAAAGCATGCAAAGCTTTGTCAAAGCATTTAGAATTTTTGAGAGCGACAGCCCTAACTTCTCTACATCTATCTAACGCAAAATAAAACCTATCAGTTGTTACTATTAACAAATCAGCAGAAGAACAAGAAGATCAAAACCCATATTGATGATCAGAAATTAAGTTTTAGATTCAAGTTGAGAGATTAAGTGATTTTTAATTAAAGTCTTAAAAACCTTGCTTAAGATGACTTATTATGATGATCGTATTTTTTTTTTCTCACAATTATTTCATGTCTATTATTATGATTTTAGATTATTATGTGCTAGACCACCATCCCCTCGGATGTAACACATATACTCTAACTATAGATGTTAAGAAGGGTTACAATAAATAGTATTATCTCTAGGTTATTATTTTGTGTGTTAACTCTATATTCATCCAATTACTAGTGGACAATTACCTATAGTGACCCTGTACTGACCAACCACTCTTAGTTTATTACTTACAACCCTAAATCTTTCTCCATAATTTTCTAGAACAATAGACCAATCTTCTTTCCATCTGATAAAAAAAAGAAATTCACTCCAATAACAATGAAAGACTTGTTTAGTATGCTAAACATTACTGGGAGGACTGTTTCACAATAAGATAAGAGTGGAAAAAGCAATAGCCACCACTGAAATTATTAATCAAATGATTACAAATAAATTGGAGGCAAGAGAGGCAAGTATTAAGTAGAGGGTTGGGATTTATCAAAAATGCCCAATATGTTTTAGAATTAATGTTAACAAATATTATCTCAAAAGTAAAAGAAATATGTCACTTGGAGTTCATTTTGAGAACAATGAAGGACCATTCTAACAAGTACCTATGAAAAGGAAATTTGATACGGTTTGAAACCCTCTGCACCAATAACGGATTACAAGTTTTAATCTTTACTTTGAAATGATTAAAAGATAAAAAATCATGGCAATAAATAAGAGGAAAAAGATATCACATCCTAACCTAACGCAAAATAAGAAAAAGCATCACTAAAAATTTCTAACAATGTTATTATTAAGCAAGCCAACAAAGGTGGTAGCATCTGCATCTTAAATAGGAGGTATGATAAAAAAAAATTAACACTATGCTAGCTGATAATACCACATATAAACTTTACAATACACCCCATGGTAGAAATGGCATGGAACATTATATCGGCGATTGACTATTTGTTGATCAAAAGATTTTTGATTAACGAGAAGACAACAAACTTTATACGCCCAAACAATCTTTGTTACCTTCCTCTGTTTTTTGGACTCCCCAAAATATACAAACCTAGGATTCCTTTTCGGCTTGTTGTATCTGCTTGCAATGGTCCTGCGGGTTGCCTCTCACACTTTGGGTTACCTCTCATTCCTTTTCGTCATGTTGTCTCTACTTGCAATGGTCATGCGCGTTATCTCTTAAACTTTGTGACAAAGTTCACACAACCACTAGCTTTACCTTTATATTTCAGAGACTTTTAATCAATCACTGCCGCCTCACATATATTTTGTCACTGCCAGCATTACCTTCGTATAAACTAACATACCTCATAGAAATAGTAGAGATGCTATCAAATAACTTATTAAGAACACACCACACGACCTAAGACCATCCGTTTTACCACCTTTTGCATATGTACAGATTATGATTGACACTATTCTCACAAACACAATGTTCCAATTTGATGACCGCAATTATTTACAAAGGATAGGAACCTCAATTGGTAAATGCATGACACCACCATGCACTCAAATATTCATGGGCTCACTGGACTAGACAATTTAAACTCAACATCACCTTCTACGAAAGATTGATTGCTGACATTTTTTACTTTTTCTATTGATCAGTTATATTGCAGTATTGACTAGCATGACATAGAGTACAGGGGGCGAGTTCTGTTGCAAGGATACACCCCTTATGAGTGAAGTTAGTGCAGGTGAATGTCATTGGTGATTGGAGGGGGATCACCATTTATCCACTACTTAGTTCTAATTGGTTGCTTTATATTATATGTTTGCTACATTACACAGGTCAACCAAAAAAAAGTTTTTTTTTGTTCCCGAGCAAACAATTAGTTTTTTTATAGCATTTCTCATTTTGATTTCAAATATGCAATTCATTTCATTAAAATGAAATGAATTGCATATTTGAAATCAAAATGAGAAATGCTATATAAAAAAGTAATTGTTTGCTCGGGAACAGTAAATTTTTTTTTTTTTGGTTGACCTGTATTATTGATATTTATAAATCTTGCTGTTACACAGGTAATTATCAGTTTTTAATACAGTTTGTTTCAGTTTTTTCGTTTGTTACTTTTTAATTAAATTGGAGCTTTTTAGAATTTTCAAAATATTTGTGCATATTTTTTTTCTATTTTTGTTCTGTACCTAAACTAGTTTTAATTTGTTTAAAACAAAAATATATATATTTTTAAATGTTTTATGTTAATAAAACACAAACAGTTTATTTATACATAAAAAAACAGAGTTATTAATTCTTTTATTCTTAAATAGTTTTTGAATGCTTTATTATAACTTTCTTTAAGACGATTATAGTTAAATGGTGACTGAACTTTAGGAATGTTTTGCTACAAATTTTTATATTGACTATGAAAGAAATCAATAAAAATTTGTATTTCTTCCAGTCTTAGTTTATTTAGTATTTATATGTACTTTAGAAAAGTCAAAAACTATTGAGGAGATCAACATTGCACATGGTGAGAATTTTTTTTTAGACAAGATTTTTTTTTTTTGTGCAGTTATATTTTAAATAATATTATAATTTACAAATTTATATTAATAAAAAACAAATCAAAATGATACATTTTTTGCTGAATAAAATAGTATAAAATGTTTGTGAGACTTGGATTGTTCGGCTTTGTTATTTTTTTAGCTTTTGTTGCCTATTTATAAATATTTTATTGAATTTAAACAGGAAGATTCAGTGATATTAAGTTTCCACCTGGTAAGTGATAGTTTTACATTATATATGTGTGTGTGTGTGTGTTTATATATATTTATATATATATATATATATATATATATATATATATATATATATATATATATATATATATATATATATATATATATATATATATATATTTATATATATAAATATATATATATATATATATTTATGTATATATATATATGTGTATATATATATAATTATATATATATATATATATATATATGTATATATATATATGTATATATGTATGTATGTATGTATGTATATATATATATATATATATATATATATATATATATATATATATATATATATATATATATATATATATATATATATATATATATATATATATATATATAAATATATATATATTTATATATATATATATAATATTTTTAGATATAATATATATTTTTTTCATTTGAAAAAAAAATTTTTTTTTGAAGTTTTTTAACATTTTCTGACTTATTAACGCGCTCTTTAAAATTACAGTTTATGGGAAAAACTTTGTGACTATTATGCAAGAGTATATCTATCTGTATATATATATATATATATATATATATATATATATATATATATATATATATATATATATATATATATATATATATATATATATATATATATATATATATATATATATATATATTTATGTATATATATATATGTGTATATATATATAATTATATATATATATATGTATATATGTATGTATGTATGTTTATATATATATATATATATATATATATATATATATACATATATATATATACATTTAAATATATATATAATATTTTTAGATATAATATATTTTTTTTTTCATTTAAAAAAAAAAATTTTTTTTTAAGTTTTTTTAACATTTTCTGACTTATTAACGCGCTCTTTAAAATTACAGTTTATGGGAAAAACTTTGTGACTATTATGCAATAGTATATATATATATATATATATATATATATATATATATATATATATATATATATATATATATATATATATATATATATATATATATATATATATATATATATATATATATATATATATATATATATATATATATATATATATATATATATATATGTTTTAAATATTCACCTCTCCAAGGCCCGTGGGGGTCACTACACTTGAGGAGGCTACTCATTTTTTTTTGTAAATCATGGTGCAACCCTCTCTCAACTCTTTAACTCCGAAACACGAACCTTGGCAAGCAAGGCCGCTGCGCGGAGAAATTAAGTTGAGCACGGTACTTCCAGGGACATGGTGGGAGTCGAACTCCAAACCTCTTGCTTACAAAGCGAGCGCTCTTACCACTACACCACTACAGCAATATATATATATATAAATATATATATATATATATATATATATATATATATATATATATATGTATATATATATGTATATATATAAGTATATATATATATATATATATATATATGTATATATATATATATATATATATGTATGTATATATATATATATATATATATTTATATATATATATATATATATATATATATATATATATGTATGTATATATATATATATATTTATATATATATATATATATTTTAACATTAAAATGTCTAAAACTTTTTAAGATAACAGACGAAGTTATTCAAAGTTTGTAACTTTATGGAAAGACAGTAATGGAATGCCTCGGGTTCCGTATGTTATAAACATTGGACCTGATAATACTACAACAAGTAAGGTTTATTCTTAGATATGATTTTATGTATTGTAAATTATATTCCGATTATAAATTTTAATATATAATTAAGTAAAAATTACATAACAAAATGTAAATTTCAGAATAAAATCTGAAAAATAAAAAACTGTGACATAAACATCTTAAATCACAAAGTTTTTTGTTGGTTGCATATTTTGAAAACTTTGTTTTGTGATATAGGAAATTTTTTTAAATGTGATATGTAACAAATGTTATAAAGGAAAAAAAGATTTCAATTAAAAAAGAAACACATGTTCACATTTCAATATGTTTCTTAAAGTATAGCAAAAACAGATATATTCTAAAATAAGTGTAGTTATATCTAAAAAATTAAACAAAAATAAAAATTGTTTAAATAGAAAAGCAGAAAAAAAAACAACATTTAGAATACAGCAACATAAACAAACACAGATTACCCATAAATCTTTATTATTTATTTCTACACATAAACAAAAGTATATTACTTACCGAAACAATAAGAATTTGAAAAAAAAATCTTTGAAAAATTAATGGCTAAGTTAAAAAACATTTCGTCAAGTTTTAGATTAGAAGCTTCTCTTTAGAATTAATTTATTATTTCCAGCATTTTGAAGAGGCCGAGCACCAATATTTTGTCAGATATGCTACCTATGCTTTACTCCACAATTTGAGTCTGTTTTATACTGCAGTTAAATTGACTTCACTACAAATAGTCAAAGACTAACTACATCCAAGTTTGTTAATAGACAATATTTATGATGAAAAATAGAATCAAAATAAATAACCTATGATATTAGTAGAAAATTTATTAACAAAAAAACTAATAAACAAATGACCATACCACCAATATAATAAGCAAACACTACAGAAAATCATTTTTAAAAAGTTTTATGACCTAAGTTGAAATTTTTAAGATAAATAAAACCTAGATTATAAAATTGAAAACATTTCTTACTATTTGAAAATCAACAAAACATTACAAAGTCTTTGATAAACTCTGACAGTGTCAAAAACACTTATTTCAAATTATGCTTAGCAATAAAAAATGTAACTAATTAAATAGCATGCATCGTTATGCAAGTTTTACCTAAAAATTGAATAACATAGCATATGGTACAGGCCCGTAGGAACAAAAATTATATTTTGGGGTGTGTGGAACTGTGCTGGATTAAGAGGCCCTAAATTAGTTTTAAGGACCTTTTTTCTTCAGTCATTTTTTCAGTCAATTAAAAAAAAATTGTTTATTTAAAAAATTATTGGGAAGACAATTGCCCCTGCTACCCCCTGGTTGCTATGGGCCTGGTGTAAAAAACATAGTTAAAAAATCATAAATATTTTTGTTAAAAATACATAAAACATTTTATAAAAGATGCCTGGAATATAATCTTTTGTTCTTTAAAAGATTTTGTCTTCAAATAAGAAAAAACAAATCTAAAATATAATAAATGATGAGGTGACCATAAAGACAATTTTATATAAAAAATATATATTTATGCAAAAAAAGGGAGTAAAATTCTTAATGTCAAAAGTACGTAAAAAAAAACAAAACAAATTGTGATCATTTTTCATAGTACATCTCAAACCTGAAATCAATTGAAAACATGTTTTTTCAAATATGAAAAACGAATTTTTAATTAAACTATTTCTTCTAACTTTTTTTATACTTTATACTTCGTTTCATTCATTGATAAATTATCAATTTATTTCAATCTTTAAAAAATTGTATCAAATAAATTTTTTGTTGATGTTTTTGAATAGTTATGGATTATAACTTTAGATTATATTTAGAATGCATTAAGCTAACACTAGCTAGTTTTATATAATGCATTGACTAGTCAATTTTGTTTAAAATACATTAAACTAAGTCTGAATGAGGTCATGCTGTTAATTTCCAGTAAGTCAAACACCGGTTAACTTATACTTGTTATATCGGACTGTTTATTTTAGTCTCTTAAAACTGTCTAATTGATTACTATTAAAATTCCCAGGTTAAATCAAACCTCGGATAACGCGAACTTCGTAAAGTCAATCCTTTTTTTATCCTCTTTTAGCAAATTTCTTTGGATAACTCAAACTTATTGTATGGGTAATAACGAAATCAAAATTTTAATTTGATTTCATTACCATGACTTCTTAAAAAAAGTTTTAATCAAGTTAAACTTGATTAAAATTTTTTCTAATAAGTCATTCCGTATAAAACATAAATACTGTAGCCTAATATTTTCTGACGCAATTTTGTTACCAAATAATAAGGAAAATATTGTATTGCACTTTTTTGCTAATATTTTTTGAATGTTATTGTTTAATAAGAATGTTATTATTAAATAATGTTATTAAGTGTATAGCATGAATACTTGCTTTTTTAACTCAAAGTTTGTAACATTTTAAGGCGAAATTTGAATACAAAAGCTGTTAAAGTCAAATGCAACTGAAGAAATTATTAGATAGCATCTAAAAGTCAAAGGTCACTTAAAAATATAAAACACCAAAGAACATCTTATCAACCTAGTTGAGAAACAAGGAAAAGATTTTGGATGCTTTGGAGAAAGGAAACAACATAAAGCATGAGTGTTTGAGGAAAGTGTCATTTGCAAATTTAGATCAAGCCATTTTTAAATGGCTTCTGATTCTTTGTAGCAGAGATGTCACTGTGTTTGCTTTTCTCAAAACTAAAGCCATGGAATTTGCTAATAGATTGAATGTTACAAATTTTCATGCTTCAGATAATTGGTTAAACTTTTGGAAAAAATGATACAACTTATCATTTAAAATGGCTTCTGATGAAGCTAATGCGTTTACAGTTTTAAACAGTAGCACCATGGAAGGAAACAATATTACCAACTATTTTATAACAATATTACCAACTATTTTATCAAAATAAATGCTGAACCAGATATAATGCTGACAAATTTGGTTTGTTTTATCAGCTCTGACCAAATAAATCTTTACATTATAAAAATGAAAAATGTGTCGGAGGGAAAGACAGCAAACTATTTCTTACAGGAGCAGCATCCGTTAATGCACTAGGGAAAAAAATGCCAATGTTTGTTTCTGGCAAAGCTAAATTGCTCAGATGCTTTAATAAACGTAAAGCATTTACCCTGCTGTTATCGCCGTCAAACAAAAAATGGGTGGTTGGCACACTATTCAAGGAATTTGAGTTCATGAAATTAATCGACAGTTTACAAAGTAAGGACTAAAATTTGTTTTATTAGTTGATAAATGTCTAGCTCATTCAATAACTTTGAATCAATAAAAACTTCTTACCACCATACAATAATCTTTTCACCACCAAACACTACCTCAAAGCTCCAGTTGATGGACCAATACGCGATTAGGTCACTTAATGTTCATACATCTGAGTTCTTTCCTAAAGGAACACCAGCAAAAGATGTCGTGTCCAAGGATGTTTTTGTCAACGCTGCTGAGCTAATAATGAATAATGAGGAGATTATATCAGAAATTTTAGGAGAAGAAAATTTTGAGGCTTAAAAGGATGAAGATAGTAATGTAGATTTTTAGACTAAACCAACATGCCCACAATCGAATGATGTACGTCAAGCCCTGGAAGTTCAACAAAGCTACATGATGTTCAGTGACAATGGGAATGTATTTGTAAATGTATAAACTAAATAAACTTAATTGTGGGTAAAGAATTATCAGTGAAGCTAATGCAAGCTGATATACAAAACTTTTTTCACTGAAATTTTTTCACACTTATTTAAGTAAATTTTATGAGCGTAAATAAAAATTGTCTTAACTCAAACTAATATCTCATATTTGTCAAAGTTTGACTTAATGAGACTTTGCTAAAGTCAACATTTGTTAAGTCAAACCATTTTCCTTGGTCCCTTGGAGGTTCCAGTTATCAGGAATTAACTGTATCTAAATTATTGTGCTGAGAATTTAATTTAATGAAATTGTTTGAACTTTTAGATTATACAACAGTAATTAAGCAATCTGTTCGTGCTATGAATGAGTATATGTCTTCTTGTGGTCGTGATGTGTGGGTTGAAAAAGAAGATAGTGATAATAGCGGATATATTGAGTTCATAACCACATTGAATGATGGGTAAATTTTTTATGAATTAAACTATTGCACAACTTTTTTTTTTCTTTTACCTTGAATAATGTTTTATCGTTTACCTTTTTTAAGTTTTTTCATTTCATTGTACACAAGGTTTTCTGTTTAACTTTGTTGCCCCTATGTTACTAACTTTACAACTCTTTTTGTTATCAACTTATAAGCGTATAGCTTGAACTCATTAACACTACTCTTTGTTTTTGGGTAACTCAACTTGAATGTGGTTGCTTGCAGTCTTGCTGGAAAAAAAACAGGGTTATAAAAAAAATCCTGTTAAAGTTTGATTTACTTTTTTTTTTTTTTTTTTTTTTAGTTGTTGGAGTGCATATGTTGGAAAACAGGGACGAATGAAACAGCAAATTGCCATAGGGTATGGGTGTAATACTAAAGGTGATTATTTTTTATAGACAAAATTTAAAAGATAAAGTTTTTGATAAAACAATTGTTTAAAAATAACTTAAAAATTTGCTATTTTCAAAAAATAACAAATAATTGAAATATAACATAGAAAAATAGTTTTTGGTAAAACAATTGTTTAAAAATAACTTAAAAATTTGCTATTTTCAAAAAATAACAAATAATTGAAATATAACATGGAAAAATAAAAAAAGTTATATATGAATTATAATAGAAATAATGTTTTTAGATTATATTTGAGTATATTGGTGTAATAGTTAAGCAATATTATTGGTGATAATATTTGTTTGTTAATATAACAATAATAACAATAATATTAATATACCATCTGTCTGGACCTGTAATACAGGTCAAAGTAGGTTCATGTTACTCCACCAATTACTCTTGCTTATCTATTTGTCTGTATATATATATATATATATATATATATATATATATATATATATATATATCAATATTAGGATGATTTAAAAAAAAATATTTTTATTTGAAGATATTTAGAAATTTTGAGGTAGCACAAGATCTTTAAAAGTCAGACAGGTCTTTAAAATTATCATCAATTTTTTTAAAAGTATGTCATGTTGGATTTAAGAAAAAACTGTATTATAAAATTATATAAATAATTAATAAAAGTTTATTTTTTGTGGTAAAAAAAACTCTAAACGACACTGTATTCAAAATTATCTTGTGATCTCAATGTTTATGATTATCTTCCTTTAATTCGTAAAGACATCAGTCACTTTTTATTTTTTTATAACATCTTTGCTTCCATTAATGCTGCAAGCAACCACTATTAGAGTTGGAAGTTTCTGGAAAAGAAAAGATTAAGTTTGTAGAGTAAGATAATGATTGACAGATGACTTAAAAAATTGCAAGTTTTATGAGTTAGAGAAGCAAGATAAAGGAAACATATTCCAAAGAACTGATGTTTAAGGAAAAAAACTAGGCAGATAAAAGTTTTTGGAGCACTTAGAAACAGCCACAGTAAAAGGATGAAACTTAATTGAATGATGAGTAACACTAGAACTAATTTTAGTAGATGGCACAAGAGATGCTATCTCCATAGAGCAGTGCCCACTATAGTATTTGTAAAAAAACGAGAGGGAAGCAATATTATGATGATGTGATAATGGTTGGAGATTGATTGCAAGAGCAGGTCCAACTATGTTTACAATGCGTTTTTGCACCTTGTTTAAAAGAGGAAGGACATCATTGGAAGATCCACCCCATATATGGCAACAGTATTCTATACAAGGATGGATTTGAGATTTATAGAGATAAAGAATTGAGTCTGAAGTAAGAAAGTTTTGAGCACAATAAAAAGATGCAACCTTAGCAGATGCCAATTTTGAAATTTTATACATTGTTTTCTAGAAAGGTCGGTGTTAAGAGTTAATCCCAGCTATCTAAATCTAAAATGTTGAGATAATGATTGGCTGAAAAAAATTATGTTTTATCTGAATTAAAGTTCACCAGCAATTGTGAGCCCCATGCTGTAGCAGAATTGAGATCCTTTTCAAGTTCAAATGCTTCCTCCATGCAATCAGTGAGTGTTGGTATACCAAGACAAGAATAAATGGTAGTATCATCAGCAAACAATGCCACCTTAGATGTGATAATATCTAGAAGATTGTTAATGTAAATTAGAAAAAGTATAAGGCTGCAGATAGAGCCTTGATGAACTCCTGAAGTTACAGGATATGAAGAAGAATGCTGTCCATTGAGGACAACTTTTACACTATTGGAAAAGTAGGACTTTATAATCTTAAAGATGTTACCAGATACATCGTAAGAAAAAAGCTTATGGAGAAAACCAGTATGTCAAACTTTATAAAAATTTATAAATGTAAATAGCAATAGCCTTAACCTCTCCATCTCTATCTAATGCACGATGAAACCAATCAGTTATTACTGTTAGCAAATCAGCTGTAGAACGAGAAGATTGAAATCCACATTGATGATCAAAAAGTAAGTTGGGAAATTCAAGATAAGAGGTTAAGTGTTTGTTAAATTAAAGATTTAAAGTCTTTTTTTAATAAGATGGAATAAATAAGAAGTTAGACTAGTAATATCGCTCTCCAGATTTTTTAAAAATAAAGATAATAGATGCTACTTTCCAGCAGGCTGAAAAATAAAGATGCTACTTTCCAGCAGGCTGAAACATAAGACTGATGAACACTGTAGAAGAGTCTAAGCAGGAAATCACTATAGATACAGAAGCTGGAGTGATACAAATAACAAGTAATAGATTAATCTGTTCTTAGCAAACAATTCAGCTTTATCTTTTGGTGAGGTGACAAAATCTAAAACATGCAAGAGAGTTGGAATAACAGATATGCCCCTATTGTTGATACTGTTAAAATTCTTCAGAAGTCAAGAGAGCCTAATTTTTTAGATGAAAAATGAGATTTTATGACCTGAAAATAGCAGCCTTTGGCATTAGACAAAACCTTTTTTCAATGGTTTCTAGCAATAGTAAACAGACAGTCTGGTAATTTCAAGTTTTCCATCTGGGTATGTTATGTCCTACACTTCATCAAGTATACTACTACTTCTTCTTTTTTATGATATATTTCGCGAACAGAAAGGTAAAATAGCGTTTCTCAGTATTTCGGTTCAAGTTTTCTTAACTTCAATGTTTCTATTATCTTTGTCGCGTGTTTTTATAGCTGCTCACTTCCCTCATCAAGTTTTAGCTGGTGCTTTATTTGGAGTGTTAATTGCTTTGTTCTTACATATTACAAGCAAATGTTTTCTGGGCAATTGTTTTCTTACATATTACAAGCAAATCTTTTCTGGGCATTTTGTTTTGATGATAAATATAGAAATAATGGTTTTGATTGGAAATTGCAACAAATGTGAGAAAAACATGGAGAAGAGTGAGGCTTGATTTCGAATCGTCGAGACGGAGTAAAAGATTCCATGTCAGCCTGAATTCAAGAAGTTATATAATAATTATTTTTATCAGCAGGAAGATGAAAGATTTTTACTCAAAGGCTATCACAAAGAAGCTTGGTCAATTTGATCAGAAATAACATTGAAAAGAGTGCAGTCTTGAGATAAAGTTAGTTTGTTCCAAAACGTTAAAGTTAATTGTTCCAAACTTGAATCCAACAAGTAATAAGAAGCATATTTGCCAGTAGCAAGATTTCTACCCAAATGCCACCATGAAGAAAATCAGGGAAAGAATCCCTATCAGCTTTAAGTTATTTGTAAGAAGTAAGATGATAAGTGGAAATCTAACTTTGAAAAAGAAAGAGATAATAGTTTTAGAGAGATCAAACTATGGTCAGAATCACCTAAGGGTGAAACTGAACATGGACTGAGATCAGCAGCAAGGCATAAGACGAGTAATGAATTTAAATGATTTGGATTGTCTGGAAAGCAAGTTGTAAAGCTGACTATTTGTATCAGAGATTTAGAATGTCAAATGTTTTGGGCAGAATCAGTGACACTAGAGCCAAGCCATTAAGTATGATGAGGAATAAAGTAACCAACAACAACTATATTGGTTGAAGGATAAATAGAGATGGCATGGTCAATTTGAGCAAGATAATAGAGTGAAGTGGTGATAAACAAATATATATAAAAGAATAATATGTGGATTCAAATCTAGTTTCCAAGCAAGTTAGTGATTTCTTTTAAATGTAAATGTCCAGGCTAAGCATGTCAGGTCAGGTTATCCTGTTTCAGGCATCATCAGACATCATGTCAGATGGTCAGGTTATCCTGCTACTGGTAAAGTTTTACCCAGTACAACCAGCTTCATGTGCTGCTGCTTTGTGAGATACGCTTTTTTAGGCAAAGGTTAGAAAAGGCCAACTCTAACTTAAAACACCCCCTGCCTTGGAGTTCTTGGTTGAATAAAAGGCTAAAGATATTGTCTCAATAGAAAATACTCATTTTGGGCAGATGTTAAACGCAACCGGGCATTATCTTGTAGAAGGGCTCCTAGGCAAAGACTTAAGGGGTAAACAGGTTTTATCTGGTAACCAGCTATGCACCCCTAAGAAGATACAACATTCAACATGTTGAATGTTAGATCTTCTTGAATCAATGCATGGGTTTTGCTTGTGTCTCTGTTTTTATGACTATGCAACTCATTCTATTAGCTCCTAATGAGGGATCAGCTGCAAAACTCAGTTTAATGTTTCCGAAGTCGGCTGCAGCCGGTTTCCGAAGCAGTCAGGTTTCCTAAACTCTGTGGTAGCTCTCAGATAGGCTGATTTCATCAACAGCTGTAAAAGATCAAAGTACTAACAGTGCCATGTTGTGCATGGATAGTGTCCTTGTTTGTACTTTTGGTGTGCAAGTTCTTTAACAAATTTAAAAATGACTAAAGTTCCAATAACTATAAAAAACAAAGATTTATCGTTGCCACAAAGTTCTCTAAACTTATCATTCACTAATATTCTTGATCTTTTAAGTAGCTTTTATAATGTTGAATCTCTTGCAAAGTTCACCAGACCTACTTGCTCTTTGAGAGGCTGTTTTTAGTTCGCCTGACTCATTTAGTGATCTTAGCGTTGATGTTATATTCCTTTAATTTGTAAAGACTCCAATAGTATTTAATTACATAATGGTTTTTATCTCACTAATCACCCTTCTCCATTGTCCTCTTTTTGTGCTACTGCAATTTCTAATTGTAATCGTTACTTTTATTGTATATTACAACTTTGGTAATACTACCATTTAGTCTTGTTAATAAGAAGCTCACACTCTCTGATTACTAGGAGATTAACTTTAAATTAAAAAAATGTTTACAACTAAATAGAAACTGAACTGTGGAAATCGTGTTATTGATAATTGACATTTTGCAGAGGCCTTGTTTGCCAAGGCCTCTGCAAAATGTTTGTTTTAGAGTTATTAAGTGGAGAAAACGTTGTAACCACAATTGAAGTAGCTTATAGCGGGAAGATAAATAAAAAAAAAAAACATAATTGTTTATTTATCATAAAGTTAAATTCACAAAAAATTGTTCAGAATTTTTAAAATCTATCTTGCTTCCCCTTTTTTTCTCCAAGATATCAATTACCCTTTAATATTTTTTATTTAACTTGAGATTTAAAAAATACTGTTAATTTTTTTTATACTAATTCACTCCCAACAAGACTGCAAGCAATAACTATTAAACTAGATGTATCTAGAAAACAAAGAATAATGTTAAAGAACATGGAGATGGTTGAAAAAAGACTTAAAAAGTAGGTTGGTTGAGACAGGAAAATAAAAGTTTTTACAGCATGAAGGGACACAGACATTTAAAGGATGCAACATGCTAAATGATGAGTCAAGGAAGAATAGTTTTTGCTTGATGGAACTAGGTTCTTTGAGCAGCAACCATAATAGTATTTGTAGAAAAGAGAATAAAATGCAACCTTACAACAGGAGAATTGCTCATTTTTGGCAGACTAGAAAAGCAGAACATTTGGGCAGAAATTATGCAACTTTATGGCAATATGAAATAGGCTAAAGCGGGTCCAACTATTGCAGGTAAAGCAGGTTCAATTATGTTTACAATGCGTTTTTAGACTTTTTTTAGAAGAGAAAGTGCTAAAAGAACCAGCTAGATATGATGTGCTTAAAGAACCAGCTAAATATGATAGCTGTATTCCATACAGGGACAAATAATGACAAGTAAAATAAAAGTAAGTATATATGGCAAGTACAATAAATAGATTGTATATATGGTTTTCACAAGAGTTTAACCTAATATAGAAATTTGTCAGGATGATCATTATGTAAATAAGAAACAACTCAACACCGTGAATTTGATTCATGAGCATGCAAATCAAATGTTAATAACCATTATTTCTAATGTCTGCAAAAAAAAAACAAAAAAAAAAAAAAAAATTCTCACAAAGAGAAAGTAAGTCTGGTAAATTTTCAATTGATAAAAAGTTACTTAGGAGTGTTAATATATTTGTAAAAGAAAAAATACTGTTGACAATTTTTTTTTGAATAATATTTGGTACTTTTGTCATGATTTAAGTTAAAGAAAGCTTGAATCATTCAAAGATGAAGCATGTTCTTATTTTTTTATATATATAGATATATGAGAAAACAAGAAGAGCTGCATAGTCACTATTAAGAAGCATAAGCAAAAATGTATGAGTAAAGACAAAAAGATCATTTTTTTTTTTTTTTTAATTTTAATTCACCTCCTCAAGGCCGAGAAGGCCACTACAGACGAAGAGGCTACTTATTTGTGGTTATAACCCTCTCTCAACTCTATAACTCCGAAACACGAACCTTGACGAGTAAGGCCGCTGTGCGGAGAAACGAGTTGAGCGCGGTACTACCAGGGACGTGGTGGGGATTTATCATCTTATTTAGGATTTAATGTAACACAGATTTGTTATTTATATAAATAGGTGCAAATCTTGTCAATAGAGTTATTCTGCTTACCTCTAAAGTCTTTGTTTATTAGGCCTTCTACAATAAAGTGTCATAATCCAATTAGCATCTGCTCAAGATAAGTAGTTTTATTAAGGCTTTCATTACTGGAGATGTTCCTTATCCTTGTTTGATTTTGTTGGTTTGATTAATAATCCTTGTTGATTTTGTTAAAGCCTTTGATAAGGTTAGTCACTCGCTTCTACTTCTCAAACTATGAGTGTATGGCTTCGACACAAGTACATGTAGCTGGATAGCATCATTTCTAAACGGCCACAATTAAAGAGTTGTACAAGGTGTCTACATTACTGATTAGTTGAATATCCTCAGTGAAGTTCCGCAAGGTTTTGTAATAGAACCTCTTCTTTTTGTAATTTTTATCAACAATATGCCAAGCCTTACTCATTACTGCTGTAAACTCTTTGCCAACAATACAAAACTAATAGCTGTTAGACACCTCTGGCTGCCAACTTCTCCAATAGGATTTAGATTGTCTAGTTAAATGGGTCACACATGAAGCATGAGTTTTAAGAAGAACAAGTGTAAAGCCATGTTCTTTGATAAGAGAGTTAACAACCGCCTCAACACTGCATTTATTGGCAATTTGCTTGGCTTGCGTGTAATGTTTACCATAACTGACTATATTTGTAACTGCCACAGTCTTAATTGCCATTTATCATAGCAGGGCTTTGTTATATGCTCTGCTCGCAAAGGCTCAAGTATTTGCTATAAATTATATATATTTTTATTATTCTGTATTGCTTCTCACTTGATTAATGACCTTCTGGAATTTCCATCATTTAAAGTAACTCTATTTGCTGACAATTTAACATTTTACTCCTTTCTCGACAATAAGTCTTCATATTTATAACAGGTAGCCTATCTTGATTCAGATCTCTCCTAAAATAGCCTGAAAAAGATCTACTGAATAGCACTGAAATAGTCTTCTGCCATCGGCTTACAAACATCAATTATCTTACAGTCTTTATAATATTTGTTAATAATTATTTTTATTATTGTTATTAATGATTCTTATTAATAAAAAATTCTTAATTTTTTGTTTTGTATGTGTTATAAGCAGGGGTGTGGAGTCGTAAAAAAAAGTAATGACTCCAACTCTGACTCCAGTTGTTGAAATTTTTCGAGCAAAACTCCAACTCCAACTCCAAAGCAAAATTTTCAAAAATTCTTCAAATTCAAAAAAAAAAATTTGTACTAAGTTAAAAATTTCTTTTTTGACAAATTTATGAAATGTTCTTTGAGGTTTAGTATAAAAATAAGGGTAATTAAATGTTTTGTACATTCTCGTATAATACCGAGAAATTTCACTATTGGAGTCGGAGTTGCGATTTTGTTTAGCGACTTCGCTATAAATATTGCAACACCGCAACTCTAAATCCACAGCCCTAGTTATAAGAATTATTTATTACAACACTTATAACTACTTAAAAGTAAGTTAAGTTTATTGTAATAATATATTATGTTATACAATTCAAATTGAACCATTTTTTAAATCATGAAAGCCAACACTCCAGTAATGAATAATGGTTTTTTTTTTCAAGGAATAATTCTTCATGAAATGCTCCATGCTATGGGCTTCTTACATGAACAACAACGTTGTGATCGTGACAGTTACATAGAGATTGTAAAGCCAAATATCAATCATGTTGTTGGAGGTTAGTTAAATCTAACATAAGTGTATTTTATATATAGTTTATTATATATATATATATATATATATATATATATATATATATATATATATATATATATATATATATATATATATATATATATATATATATATATATATATATATATAGTTATATTATATATATATTTATGTTAGTCATAAAAAACTGTTTCAATATTTTTCATAAAAAACTGTTTTAAAATGACAACAAAGATGGACACATAAATTTGATTAAAAATTTATTCAATCTCAAATTTTTTTCAACAATTTTGTCTTGTGTTACTTGATTGCAACACTTAAATAAACAACAAATTTGACAAACAGTTCTGAGCAAAATTGACAAATAAGTCTTTGCGTAAAATGATGATCCCAAAATAACGGCAAATCAAAATCGATTTGCATCAATCAAAATTTAGCTATCTACCTCGTTATTTAAGTAATTTTTATCTCAAAATTGCATGTATAGCCCTAAGTATAAGCAAGTTATATGGCTTTAGATACAAGTATTGATAACCTCATGAAAAATGTCATCTACAAACACATATTGAGAGAAAACTTAATTACTAAATATTGCGTTTAGTACTTAGAAACAAACAGTTACATATACAAGTACTTAGAAGGAATTCCTCAAAGATTGTAAAACAATCAAATTATGATTTAAAAATGATTTTAAATTTTTTTCAAACCTAAACCTTTTCAGACTAACTGTGTTATGTGATATGACAAGACATAGAATGTAATCTCTATTTTTAAAAATACTGTAAATTTACACTTTAATTGCATTTATAAAGACATGCACGAAAATGATTATTGGTAGCAAGTAAAAAAAAGGTGGACAAACTTGAAAACCAAAGTGAAAAAATTTAGTTTATTTTGAGTTGATCAAAAATAAAAAAGAGTTTAATTTTTACAAACCAAAAAAATAACTGTGCTATAATGTCCCCTCAGTATTATCTTGTTCTATCTACAAATTTAGTAAATAAAATGTTCTACCTAGTATATAAAATAAATACATAAAAAATTATATATTATAAATAAATACTAAATAAATAATATTACATAGAACATTGTCTGTATATATATATATATATATATATATATATATATATATATATATATATATATATATATATATATATATATATATATATATATATATATATATATATATATGTATATATATATATATATATATATATACATACATATATAGTAGATTTAATTTAGTGAATTTGTTTGAGGATTTTGAGAAGAAAAAAAAACTTTAATTTATATAAAATTTATTAAACGATTTTAAAGATAAAAAAACATCTTTTAGTACAAAAATAATAATATAAGGTAAAATCTTCAGTATTAAAACAGGTTAAAAGTTTGAAAAATGTTATAAAACCTGAAAGAGAATTTTAAAATCTTGGTTCAGAGATTACTCCAATATACCTACAGAGATTACTCCAACATACCTACAGAGATTACTACAAAATACCTACAACTTATTTTGAATTAGTTGCTCAGTAAAAAAAGCCTTGAAGAGTTAAAGCTATTAATAATATTCAAATTTTAAAAAGACAAAAGAGAATTCAGATAATCAGATATATATATATATATATAGATGGAGATGCAATAAAAGTATTGTTTTGTGGCATTTTCACAAACTGGTTTGGTTAAAATCCCTATTTCTGTTCTGAATTAATCCACAAAAATATTTAAAAAAAGTATAGCCATTGTGAAGTTTAAAGATGTATTAATTAATGTTTAAAAAATTGTAGTTTTTACTGTTCAAAATCACTTTATTAACCTAAAATAATTTTATATCATTTCGAAAACATTATTCTTTTAGTAATTTTTTTAAAATTTGTGTTTTAGGATACTTTTGAATGCCTCAAATGCTTTCTTACTGCTTAGGCTGTTCTTATATAATCCAACTATCAATAATTCCATGATTTTGATCTTTTTCTATAAAGGAAGTATCTTTATCACCATTGTGAAGCTAATAATTTCAATAGATAATTTAACAGTTGATATTCCCATTTGCTTTTACCATTATTCATTTCATGAACAGGCAGTGCTATACAGAGAATATATCAACAGCAACACAATTAATAACTTGCATGCTACTTCCATTAAGTCTCGTCAAAAGCAGTTTCTTTCATTGTGCATAAGCATTAAAAATATAGTTTCTCAATTTGCTAACTTTATAAATAAAATATATCCAGTGCAGCAATGTTAGAATACCAACATAATTTAGTTATGAACAGTATCTTCTAGTTTATATTTTATTCTGATTTTATATGTACTATATTCTAAAATAATAAAATAATATTTTTAAATAAGAAAACACAACACAGATTGGAAAATGACCTACATGGCTTTATTAAAAAACCTTGTTTTAAAATTTATTTTTGAAGTGTTTTGAAATTAGCGTAAAATAAATGCTAAACAAATATCAAAATCAAAAACTTGTATACATAATATTTTCTTAAAAATTAAATCATTATTTTTCTAAAAGTATACGAGAATTTGAAAATAGTGTTAATATTGCAATTTCAAATAAACTTTAAGAAACTAAATGCTAATTAAAATAGTAAAAACTAAATGAAATATTTTAATTTTTTATTATACTTTCTATAGTATATGTTATTTATGACGTAAATTTTTTATATACCCTTCTTAGTTTACAATTTTTTTGTAACAAATATATTAGAGGGTTTGCAATTTTATTTGCCTCTATAGATATAGAATTAAAAACTAAACTGATTTTTTGCAGATTTGTTTTAACAGAGCTCAGACCTTTAAATCATTTGCTAACTAAAAAACTCTTAATAATCAGTAAAACAACCGTTGCAGTCAATAGAAAATTTAATTAACAGTATAACATTCCCTTCAATTGTCTTTTCTTCTGACCATAACATTTTTATTTGACAAAAAAATGATTGACATTCCATTAATATTCCATAACAGATTTTTAATGCTAGCTAGTTTTTTAAAGTTAAATTAAATACTAAGCTAAATAATATTATTAGTAAAGTTTAAATAAAGGTTAAGTTTAAATTAAAATCAAATATATGTTATAACATTTTTAATGAAGTTTAATGAAGGTTTCAAATGAAGATTTCTATTTATATTTTATACATCAATTTATCTAAAACTTGCAATAACATAGTTACTATCAACTGCATTAACATAGTTACTATCAACTGCATTAACATAGTTACTATCAAATGCATTAACATAGTTACTATCGAAATCATTTATGTTACAAAATAGAATAATAAAAAATCATTTGTTATAAATGAAATTCATTTTTGTTGATTAGTATTTTCATTAGTTAAAATAAAACTCAAGTTAATACAAATAATATAAGATTTGAGCAGATAAAAACGATGAGATATTGCCATTTACTAAAAGATGACTGCATAACTTTGCTTCTTTTTTGAAGTTGAATTGACATGCTTTATTGTGGACATTTTAAACAACAAAAACGTTAATTTAAGCTTAAATTAATAATAGTAAAAAAAATTTAATAAAAAGAAAGATTAAGAATATTTCTTTTATTTACAAAAGAAGTGTGAAAAATTAAAAACAATAAAACAAAAGAACCATACTTTTTTACAGAATCTTGTGAATTAAAACTTTTAATTTTTTTAAAATTCAATCAAGTTTTAATTTTTTAATTTAAATTTTTTATTCTCATTGGAAAAAAACGTTTTAAAAATAGTAAACATTCCATTCTATAATTTAGCTGTAATTACTTCATAACTTATCTTTTATTGTTTGTATAAAATAGAAAACTGCAAAATGAAAATCCTAATTTAAACTGAATTTAAATGTTATCAAGTGGATAATATTTTATATACTTGATTATATATTTAATAAATATATAATAGGCTTACACTAATATAGTATATATTAGTGTAAGTATATATATACTTATACAAGTATAAAATATAAATAACTTATATACTAACTTATATTTTGAGAAATGTTTTTGTGAAACTGGTGATACAACATTTTTTTTGTTGTTGTTTGTGAGCACACTTTTAAAAGTTTCAATTCAAAGTTATTTAGCAAATGTATTGCTACGCGTATTGTTTATTGAAACTTTTTTTTATTATTTTTAAGTTGCGTTTAGATTTAACTTTTTTAATAAAAAGACTTTATTATAAGCGTAACTGATTCAAAGATACTGGTAAAAATATTTAGCTTTAAATTAAGTTACATTTGACAAAAAAAATTGTTGATATTCCAATGTTTAAACGTTTTTAAATATCAAATAGTCATAAATTAATAAAATGTGATTGAACTTGTAAGAAATTGAAGCTTCAAGTGAAGTTTTAGTTGGAGTAACTTTTTATGTTAGATATTCATTTATAAGATATTTATATATGTTAAGCTAGATATTAAATTTTTAACATATAAGTTTGGAATTTTCATTAAAGTGTTGCAAGTTTTGATATTTTGTAACACGGACTTTTATGCAATTCAAAGTAAAAGTTTTACTTAAGCAAAGATTTTTGTCAAACGAACCCTAAAAATCTATACGAGTAGCAAATGGTTCGACTTAACTAGGGTACAATTAAGCGGAAAATATGATAAAGTTCAAATGGAGTTTAAAAAAAAAAAAAACATGCTGGATTTAGCTTTCAAATAGAAGAAATAAATCATTTTTAATTTGAACTTACACAGCATAAATTAAAATTGAATTAAGTCATGAATTAATTATGCAAGACATACTTTATTACGAATGTAAATTCTTTTTTTAACAATATACAAACTGTTTAAACATATTTTGATTGATTCAAACTGTTTAAACATATTTTGATTTTGCAAAAAAATTTTACTAAAAGTAAAAATTTTACTAAAGAAATTTTACTAAAAGTAAAAATTTTACTAAAAAAATTTTACTAAAAGTATTTCTATAAAATTAAGTTCTAATTTTCTCCCTCACAAGTTCTTCAGGCAAGCGCATTTTTTTACTCCTGCAACGAAACTAGCGAGCGCTATTTGTCACTCCAGTGATCGCTCCCACTTCATCACAAGGCCTGATATGTTATAAATGTGTGATATATATCATAAATATCTTTTATGAAAACATCTTGGTGATATTATCAAATCTTAAAGTTTAAGATATATTATAACATCATTAAAATCTAAACATCTTACTATGATAAAAAAATCTTTGTAATACTATAATATCTTTACTGTCAGTAAAGTAGTTGTATAGTCAGTAAAGTCAGAATACAAAAACAGCATAAATCAATCTTAATAATATGTGAGGCTGTGGCGCAATAGTTAATGCGCTTACTTTAAAAACAGGAGTTCCAGGTTCGAAATAAGCTCTGGACATATTTTTGCGTCACAGTAAGGAAGGAGGCGTGAATTATCTGGTTAAATGCACTTCCACAGTGTTCTGTGACAAAACTCTTAGGTCTTTTTGGGACACCTAAAAATAAAATTTAAAATTAAAAAAAAATAATAATATGATATAGTCAATGACAAAATAAAATAAATATTATCGTTACATTTGTTTACATTTACAAATGTGGTACATTTTAGTTTTTAAGTATTTACGCTCTATATTCTAATCAAGTAGGCAAGTTTGTGTAAGTAAAAAAACTTTAAAGAGTGAAAAATTTTATTTTTTAAAAATCATGATTAGATTATAGTTCATTATTTTTTTTATTTTTTATTTAATTTTACGAAGAAAATAAAAGATTTTTAAAAAAAAAATAGTACATACACATGATAAATGCAAAAAATCATTTTCTAGTTTGTCCCTGTAGGTGCACAAATCAATGACTTAGGTTTTTTTTAGATATACCTACCCGAAAAGACAAAGCCAATTACTTATAAAAAACAACATTTAAACCACAGATACTAACTTAATAACAAAATCAATATGGTCTACTTTATATAGAAGGATAATTTAAAGACTTTTTAATCAGACTTTTTAATTTAATCAGGCAAAAGTTATAAATTAAGCCTAAAATTAAAGGGGACTGATTTTTGTCCCGATACATACATACAATTAAATCTTTTTTGCTCAAGATGTTTTTTTTTTAATTTTGTGTATGTGTGTTATTATATTTATAAAAATTGACAAGGTTGAAAAAGCTGTTGAAGAAAAAAATTAGATAAGTTTTTTTACAAATGTGTGGGGTCCTCTTCTTATATTCTTTCTTCTTCTACTCCACTTTAGCACTGCATACAGTCCCATAAAAATAAAATAAAAATACCGTCTGTAATATTTATTAAAAATGAAAGCAACACAAAATTAAATGTGTTTTCACAACGACAAGGCAAGTTAAGCTCCTATTTCCAAAGGTATAACTAAAATTATATACTTTTATACTATAAAATAATCAAGGTTTATTAATTAATTATTATAAAGAATAATATATTTGATTTACTTTTAATCTTCTTATATTGTTGCCACTTTTATGCTAAGAGTATTCTTTGAATATATATATATATAAAAATTAAGGGAAATTTTTAAAGTAATATAGCGATCTTTTACTTCTAATTATTATTTAAATTCTGTTTGACATCCTCTATGGACACACCCTTACACCATCATGTAATACATTGTGTCATCAAAAGATATGTTTTAAAAATAATAAAATAGTAAAAGTTCTTGAAAATAGTATACACAAGCTTGTAAATTTTATATTTCATATTTATTGCGAGTTCAATTTTATAATATATATTAACTTTCTATATACATAAATCGCATAGCAAAATAAATTTACAATTACAAAGTCACAGCAAAAGCAACAGCATATGTATTTTAATTACAAAAGAATTACAAAAGATTGCAAGAGACTGCACGTATCCGTGGCAATGAAGAATACCAATAATTATTTTTTCATGGATAGTCATATAATGTTAATATGACCATGGTTCATTGAAATATCTAAGTTTGCTTTTATGTTTTAAATTCAAGCAAGTAGTGAATCTAGTTGTCTTGTTTTTTAAATTTATGGTACCAGTTTGTTGTAATAAAAAAATAACATTCTTGTTATTAAAAGTATTTAATTTACGTTTTAATATATGTATTTAATTTACATTTTAAATATAAGCAACCAGTAAAGTAAAGAAATCTATTTTCCTCATTAAATAAATTTCTAGAACCAGTTTGTTATAATCAAAAAACATTTATTAAAATTATTTAACTTTACAGCCAAAAAGGGCCAAACTTTTAAAGAAATAACATTTGCGGATGGTAAACCAAACAAATTTCTAATTTTTTAAACTGCGCTTTATTTTGCTATTGGAACGCATTGCAAAAAATTATTTGTAAATTTTGAGAAATAAATTTTTTTTTCGACCATTTTTGCGGTTATGCAAGCGCGTAGTTATACCAATAATGCCAATTTTATTTAAAGTTTTGAACAGTAAATTGTTGTTTTTCTATTAGTTTATAATAGAAATTAATTTTCAATAAGTTTTAGAACTATTATTTAACTTTAATTTGGCAAATTTTATTAGGAGAATGGGGTTTTTTTCACTTTTAACTTGGGAATTGTAATTTAATGAGCATTTAAGAAAACTGCGTTTGATGGGGCCCCACAGGGCAAGTTTACACCCTGCTTATATGGGGTAACAATGACCCTAGTATGTTTTATGCTGTAAATGTTAAAGTTACATCATGAGGGATAACATTATAATTGAAATATGACAAATAAAATAAAGAAAATATTTTAAATATATTTTAACACCAACCTACATTTTCGTTTAATTAAATTAAAATTTTAATTAAACGAAAATGTAGGTTGAAATTAAAAATTTAAATTAAAAATGTAGGTTTAAGTTAAAAATTTCTTAAATTGCATTAAAAAGTTGTAAAATTCCAATGAAAATGTAATGTTTTATTATTTTTTGAAAGATATCAATAAGTTGAAACCCTAAAACTGAAATATGCCTTTAAAAAAAAAAATTCAAAAAAATGATATTATGTAAGGTTTTACTTTCTTTTAACCTAAAGTTTTTTTAGTAACAAGACCTTTAATTAGATAAATAAAGTTTAATTTATGCCCTTTTTATTGTGTTGTTACTTACATTTAATATTTTACGAATAAAAATAGTTATATTTGTTCATTTAACATTTGTCTTCAGCATCTTTTAAAATAATTTAAGCAATAATCAACGGGTGACAGGTAAAAACATTTAATCTAATACATGTCAATATTACCCACATGTTATGGTAAACCTGCATTACCTTATATGAAGTGAATATTAAAACTTGTACTTATGCTTTTAAAAATATGAATTGAAGAGTTAACAAAAAATAAAATCAACACAATTTTATGTGAAAAATATGAAGTACCCAAATTTTTATGTTTCTAATCAAATACATTAGTTTATAAAAGTTTATTTAATATTTAAAAGTTTAAATATTTAGGAGCAATAAATGCAATGGTACAGTTTGAATGTTACTATTCTATCCAACAAACACATTATTCATCTGTAAGTTCATTTTTTTTAGTCCTTATGTAGTTTTTTTTTTATTATTATCTATTTTATTTTATGTTTTAAGAAAAACTGTTATAATAAATATTATATATAAGATAATAAAAAAACAATAAATGAAAAATATCACAATTAGGAGATTTTTATTATATTATTTTTATATTTACTTATAAAAAGTACACAGTACTGTGTTAAACACGATATTAGATTTTTTAAGTTATTATAACATAACATTATTTTTTATTATTTATTATAAATACATTTTATAAGTTATTATAACATAACATTGACAAGTTAAAGCAAAAAAATGAGCTATGCGATCAATTTTTACATCAGCAAAAATTAGTTAAGTTAATTGAAAAAATATGTTAAGTGTTGCAATCGCTCTGTTGTCTATATAACTATTGTCTATCTGTATTTCTTTAGAGATTTTGAGAATTGCTCATTTACCTTAATATTACTTAGTTACTTATTTGTTTTTGCATTTATTTTAATTTGTCATTTTTGTTTAGCCCTATGATATTTTCTCCATTATGCACTATGATTTATGGGCTTTATCAAAAAAACCAAAGCGCACTGCCAACACAAAAACTATGAGATTAAAACCAGAGTTTATGAATTTAACAAAAGATATTGAAGAACTAATTGGTAAAACTGGTAGAATGAGTGATACAGACAAGCAAGAGGTTAATGCATTGTATGGATGCATTGGTATGTTATATTTTCTCGAAAGATATATATATATATATATATATATACATATATATATATATTTATATATATATATATATATGCATGTGTGTGTGCGTGTGTGTGCGTGTATACAATAATATACATATATATATTTTACATATATGTATGTGTGTACGTATGCGTGTATATATATATATATTTTATATATATATATATATATATATATATATATATATATATATATATATATATATATATATATATATATATATATATATATATATATATATATATATATATATATATATATATATATATATATATATATATATATATATATATATATATATATATAAAGGGTGCGGAAAAACCTCTGATATTTTTTATATATACATTTATTTATGATATATTTATATATACATTTATTTATAATATAATAAAAGTTTAATAAAAATCTCAGTGCAAAAGAGCTAATGATCTCTTTATTATCTCTTTAAATTAGTGATGCGTGTAAAACTCTTATCTTTTTATGAAAAGATCTTTAAAATACCTTTACAATATGAAATCTTTAACATATAAGCAATATTCATAATTGTAATAGATTTCAACAATAAAAAATGTTAAAAGGACTGATTAGTCACCTAAAAAAAGAGAAACTTTATTCACACTGCCAAAAGAGGGCTATAGTTATAGAGCAATTGCAGACAAAATTGGAAGTGTGACTGCCTCTGGGGTACAAAAATTGTATGCACGTTTCGAAGAGACTAGCAGCATTAAAAAAAAAAAAAAATAGGAAAGGGAAGAAAAAAAGCAACAACACCTACAACTGACAGAATGATATCAAGACAAGCACTATGAAATAGAAAATAACTGCAAAGGAAATTAACAGCTCTCTCAAAGTTGCACAAATATCTGTAAGTGACAGAACTGTTTGTCGGTGATTGGTGTATGCAGGTTTGAAAGTTTGAATTCCAAGGAAAAAACCACTGTTCAATGCTATTCAGAGAAAAAAGAGAGTGGAATGGGCTAAAGTTCATGCTACATGGACAGTTGATCAGTGGAAGAAAGTCATCTGGAGTGATGTGACACAAATCTTGATTTTTGGCAATGGCGGCACTGGTTATGTTTATCGAAGAGCAGGTGAAGCTTACCATCCTGAGTGCTTGATACCCCATACAATGAAACACCCCATGGAAGTGATGATATGGGAATGAAACACCCCATAGAAGTGATGATATGGG